AATGGCAGAGTGGGCTCCTGGCAATCCTCTAAGAAGTTCAAAGCAGCACGCACTCAGAACAAGCCCCAGATAACTTCACAGCCAAAGGGCCCTTTGAGCCCAGTTCGTTGTGGTCCAAGCAAACATGTGGCCCATTTGGTACTTCACTTGCTGAGCAATTTGCAAATATTGCAGTTGTGCCTGGCACAAATCTGGACTGCAAATTATAGAATCATAAAGTTGGAAGAGACTGAAAGAGCCATCTAGTTCAAACTCCTGCCATGCAGTATGCAAAGGGTTCTTCTAGCTGTGCACCTTAGAGACTACCTGGGGGAAAGAAATCAGTAGCACAGACTTTTATTATCTAAGCCTACTTCCTCAGATGTATTCTTTTTTCTCAGTTAGTCTCTAAGGTGTTCCAAGATGCCCTTGCATGCTGATCTTCCAGACACAGCTATCTTTGACTCCTGCCATGCAGGAATACACAGCAAAAGCACTCCTGAAAGGTGCTCATCCAACCACTGTTTGAAGACTCCCAGAGAAGGAGAGTCTAACATCCTCTAAGGCAACCCGTTCTACTGCCAAATAGCTCTCACAGTAAAGAAGTTCTTCCCAACGTCCAGGTGGAATCTCTTTTCTTGTAATTTAAATTCACAGGTTCATGTTCCAGTCTCTGGAGCAGCAGAAAATGAGCTCACCTTATCTTTTACATGATATCCCCTAAGATATTTAAAGAAGGCTATCATGTTACTGGTCTTCTCTTCTCTGAGCTAAAGATACCCAGCTCCCCAAGCTGCTCCTCATAAAGATTCATGATTTCCAGACCTTGCACCATTTTGTTCACCCTTCTCTGGACAAGTTCCAGCATGTTAATATGCTTCTTGAACTGTGGTGCCTCAAGCTGAACACCGTATTCCACGTGAAGCCTGCAAAAATATTATTCCTTTTGCAGATGGAGAAGTCTGGCCCACTGCAATGGTACTCAAAAATCACACAACAGTTTGTCTTTCTAGTAGTCTCGCTTATCCAACCTTTGCTCATCCAACGTTCTGTATTATCCAACTTAATCTGCTTCCTGCCTGGAACCACAGCTGTTTCAATATATTGCAATGTTTTTGTGCTAAATTAGTAAATATAGTAATTACTACATAACGTTACCAGTTACTGAACGACTTTCTCTGTCAATTTGTTGTAAAACATGATAAAATTAAAATATAAAACATGATAAAATTAAAATGTTTAATAGGCTTTTGCTTAATCCCCCCTTATTATCCAACGTTTTCACTTATCCAACATTCCGCCGACCCGTTTATGTTGGATAAGCGAAACTCTACTGTATTGATAAACAGCCCTTTCCTTGATGCAGCCCTCCAAGGGTTCCTGTAAGAGCTATGAACTTGGTCTGGGCTTCCCAGTCCTCCTTCCCCACCATTATGTTGCTGAACCAAAAAACAAAACACAACAATCACAGCAGTAGACAAACTGAACAGGAGACAAACTGAGGCAAGGCTGAGCCATGAAGATCACTGGATAAGATGCCTCCCCCTCAAATAGGCCTTCCTTAGAGGGTTGTTGTGTCAATAAAATGGGAAGGAAAGACATTCACCAGCCTGGGACTCATTAACTTTTCTGCACTGTGCATTTCCTCCATATTAGTGCCTCCCACTTCCAACTCCACCAGCCAAATTAGGCCAATTGTGCCCTACCCTATAATTTTTCCAGCCTGCTGAAGGAAACCCTAGCATTCAAAGAAAGGAAGAATGGAGATCTGAATATGGTGGGTGTGTCACCCTGGGCAATCCTGCCCCTCCTACCAATGGTTGAACAAATATTTGCCCAAACAATGCATTTCTGAGTAGACACAAAAAGGGAAGGGTCTCAGCGGGTGGCACGGCCTGAGTGGTGAAAGGGGAGGGCGGCCTCACCCGCCTGACAAGCAAAGTGCAAAGGGCCCCAGTGACTTCCCATCAGTGATTTAATCTAAATCCCTCTGGGGAGTTCGTTTACAAAATCAGATTACATTATCGCCTTGGTCTCCAGGATACAGTGCAATCGTCACCAGAGCGACAGGGATAAGGAAATCTCCATTGGATCCAGGACTAATCTCGGAAGCTGGGTGGGGGAAGGGACGGGACGTCAGGAAGGCCCTAATGGGACCACTCTTCAAGAGGAAGAAGAACCAGTTGGATCTGTCTGGGCAAACACAGCCCAGGTCATGCCCCCAGGACAGCCGCCTTGCGTTCCAGGCATACCTGCTAACATTCCCCAGCTTCAGCTCTCCTTTACGCTCTCTGCTTTTTTCACTACTTGCTACACCCAACCCAGAACCAATGCTGGACCTCATTACACACCTATTTGGTTTGACTTCTGGGAGTGTGAGAGACCCACCTTCAGCCTGCTGAGTGGTTTTGGTTGACGTAGGCCTTTGGGTCATTTGGACTTAGGGCAACCCAAGAACCTGTCCTGTTTCTCTTGTTGTGATTTGTGCAAAGGAGGTATGCCATTGCCTTACTCTCAGGCTGACAGAGTATGTAGTCTCTTCCAATTCTATGACTTGTACAAGGCACCAAGTTGGTTTCCAGTGCTGACTAGGGATTTGAACCTTTGTGCCACAGAATCCTGCAGCACAACAGCTTTCAGAAACTTTACACTTTGACTTTTCCACAAAACGGAGACTCTAGTGCAGGCATGGGCAAACTTGGCCCCTCCAGGTGTTTTGGACTTCAACTCCCACCATTCCTAACAGCCGATTACAAATTACAATATAGCCACAAAAGAACTGAAGCAGTAACAAAATTAATATTTACTGTTAGATTGTATATAATATGACATACTATTTGTCTAGGATACTGTAAAAAGAGAGAAGAACGTATGCTTATACATTTTGTTGGACATATTTATAAATAAAATCTTAAATCATAATAATACTAATTTTTCCTTTTGATTTCTAGAAGTCACATGAGCACTGTCTGTTTATGCCAACCCTGACAATAACTCATATCTCCCCATCAAAAGCACATCTGCTCAAGATTGCTACTGCAGAGACAAAGCCTTCCTGCCAAGAGAACAACAACAACAACAAAAGCACAAGGTTTACCAAGCACATGTGTTAAGGCGCATCCAACCACGCCCCACAAGTCACGGAATAAATCCCATTCCATGAGCCAGTCATTTCCACAGAATATTCATGCCCAGGATTGGAAGACTGGGTGTGGACTAACAAACAAGCAAGGTGACCATACAAAGTCATGGAAGATAACACACACACAGGAGAATCAGAACACAGATATTAAAAGCTGTCCCCCAGCTACCCCATTCCTGCAAGTTGACGGTTCAGTCAATCACTTTACCCATCCGGAGTTCCGAAGCACAGTTTTGTACTTAGAGCTATAGACCAAATGCAGTATACTAACAAAAATGTTAAATTTAGATGGAAGAAAAGAAGAATTTAATTCCCAGCTCAGCCACAGAGTTCACTGGAAGCCTTGGGCTCAGGTACCATCTTTCTTTATGCAAATTTGATATGAGGATAAACTGCATGCAAAGAAGTACAAAGTCCCTTCGAGGTTTTGTTTAGTGTGCCACATGTTATGGAATGCTTTAAAGAAAAATATTTCACCTACAATGAGCAATAGTCCACATTGGAACCACAGAAAGCACTGTCTGGCCTGCACCAACCCAGTAGCCAGATGACACCTTTGTTGTTATGGGAGTTTCAGCTGTTCCTCCCCTCACTTTTGCCAACAGGCAAAGACCTTTTGATTGAGTGAGGGCTTTTGCACTTAAACCCATGTGTCATTGGGATCTTTGAAAGTGTCCTGACTTTGTATTTTGGTAGATTTGTTGGCTGACTTTAAAAAAATTATAATAAGATGTTAGCTCATCTCCCAGAAAAAGTTAAATAGCCTCTGTGTATGTCTGTATATGTTGTATGACAAAATTGGCATTGAATGTTTGCCATATATGTGTTCATTGTAATCCACCCTGAGTCCCCTGCGGGGTGAGAAGGGCGGAATATAAATACTGTAAATAAATAAATAAATAAGCTCATTAACTTGTTGTAAGCCACACTGGCCCCCATGCTGGGAAAAATCATATTATTATTATTTACCACATTTATATGCCGCCCTTCTCACCCCGATCGGGACTCAGAGCAGCTTACAAGATATATATACATACAATACATTATATTATTATTGTATGTATAATATTATTATATTATTATATTATACATACAATACATTATTAGCATAATACAATATCAGTATTACATATTACTATATTGTACTATACCATTATATTGTAATATTATTAGTAATATTATATGTAATATAAAATATATAATTATAATATCATATTATTAGTATTATACTGTATTACATTATAATATTATAAATATTATATGTATATACTATATATTATATTACATTATAGTATATTACATTATATTATATTATTAGCATAGCACAGAAGACAAGCTGGAACGAGACAAACAAGTACATTTCTACTGGTTTCTAGCCTGAATGCCACAAGTGGCAGCAAAGGAGAGCAATGGAGATTGCCTCTAAAGCAGGTATGGCCAAACTTGGGCCCTCCAAGTGTTTTGGACTTCAACTCCCACAATTCCTAACAGCCTCAGGCCCTTTCCTTCCCAGGCCCATTCAACAACAAGGGCAGCCTCTTTGCAGGAGAGTCAAGGGTGCGTCTACACCAGACATGGTCAAACTTGGGCCCTCCAGGTGTTTTGGACTTTAACTTCCACAATTCCTAAGAGCCTCAGCCCCTTAAGCGGCTGAGGGGGAAAAGGAAGGGGGCTGAAGCTGCTAGGAATTGTAGGAGCTCAAGTTCAAAACACCTGGAGGGCCCAGGTTTGCCCATATCTGCTTTAGAGGCAACAAGAACTGGAGGAAGTGTGACATGTCATCCAAAAACAGACCCTGAGTCCCTTTCTGTTGCCTGGAGACAGAATCCCGCCACTCTCCAGCTGGTTTATACTCTAACCAAGTGGGTGCCAGCCCTGCTCCCAACCCTCAGTTTTACCGAGCACTTACCCAGCCACCGTTCTCTTGGATCCAGGGGTCCAGGTGTTCGGTCAGGTACGTGGTCATCCAGCTGGCAATCCTCCCCACCAACCCTTGCATCTCTTTGTCGACACTCTCCACGCACAGGGCTCCCCCAAAGGAGAAGAACGCCACTATCCGCCCCCAGTTCACCCCATCGTGGAAGAGTTCGTTCACCACCTGCTCGAAGCTCTGGTACGCAGTGCCCAAGGTGATGTGGAGCTGGGAGGTGAGGTCGCTAAAAGCCCGCCGGTACCTCAGTTCAAACTCATCACCAGCCTCCCTGAGCGTCTGGCTCACATCCGGCCTCTGGTTTTCTTCTTCCGCCTCTTCAAGGAGTTCGGGGTGTTCGGAGGCCCCGTTGACGACACGGCTGGGGCTGGGGTGCCAAGAGGGGCTCCCGTTGAGGGCGTTCCCCGTCTCGTTTGCCGGCTCCATCGCATCTTCCCCGCTCTCCACCTCGATCTCATGCCAGCTGTGGCCCCGCTGCGACAGCTTGTAGGAAAGGAAGTCCACCACGAGCGCTCGGTTACTCCTCGACATTTTCACACCTCAGGGTGTCTCAGTGAGTCCATGGTCTGGAAGGCAAGCCGGCTTGCACGTTTACCAAGCCAGGATGCTCCCAGTTGCCCTTCCTGGGAGAAAGATCCAAACGCCAAACAAAACCTTCAGGAGCGAAAGGGACAGAGAGAGAAAGAAGGGAAAAAACCATTAAAGAACAAGCCTTTGATTGTATTTGCCAGCATGCACATAGAGGCTCCCATTTCCACTCACAGAATCATAGACTCATATAATTAGAAGAGACTACAGGGTCACCCAGTCCAATCCCCCTCTGCAAGGCAGACACCCAATCCAAGCCCTCCCAACCAATGGTCATCCAGCCTTGTGTAGTTGAAAGCTTTCATGGCTGGAATCACTAGGTTGCTGTGAGTTTTTCAGGCGACACAGAGAAGCCACTGAAATCCACAAGCATGTGGACAATTTCAACAGAAAGGAGGAAACCATGAGAATGAACAAAATCTGGCTGACAGTATTTAAAAACTCTAAAATCAGGACAGTAAATAAAGAACAACACTTAAAATCAGGGGAACTCCAGACAAGAAACAATCAGGGCCAGCTAATCACCTCCAACAGAGGATTCCCCCAGGCAGGAAGCAGCCAAACCTTGAAACTGCAAAGCTATTCAATGCTAATCAAGGTGATAAATTGAAGCATTTACACTTGCCTCCAACAGACAAGAATTCTTTCTCCCACTCTGAACATTATTCCACAGATATATAAACCCCACTTGCTTACTGTATTGTCAAAGGCTTTCATGGTTGGAATCACTAGGCTCTTGTGGGTTTTTTTGGGCTATATGGCCATGTTCTAGAGGCATTTTCTCCTGACGTTTCGCCTGCATCTATGGCAAGCATCCTCAGAGGTAGTGCTTAGTTTCCAACAGACCTCACACCTGTGAGGATGCCTGCTATAGATGTGTGCGAAACGTCAGGAGATAACGCTTCTGCAACATGGCCATACAGCCCGGAAAACTCACAGCACCCCCAGTCATCCAGCTTTATTTAAAATCCTCTGGAGAAGACTCCCCTAGACCCCAGATTCTACTGTCAAACAGCTCTGCCAGGAAGTTCTTCCTAACATTCAGGTGGAATCTCTTTTCCTGCCATTTGAATGCTTTGGTCCATTGTGTCCTAGTCTCTGGAGCAGCAAAAAAAAAATCTTGTCCTTTCTTCAATATGACAGTCTTTCAAATATTTATTTAAACATAAATATTATGTCCCCTTCCCTCAATTTTCTCTTTTCTAAGCTAAATATCCCCATCTACTTAAGCCACTCCTCAAAGGGACTCAGGATTTCCAGACCTTTGGACCTTTGAACAGTAGCAATGATCTGGACACTGGATTATTCTGGGTGAAGCCAGAACAGAGTAGAATAGAGTGGGACTATTAGTTCCCTCAACCTAGACAATGGACTTCTCTTGATGCTGCCTTGAATCACATTGTCTTTTTTAGATGTTGCATCACAGTGCTGACTTATTTATTTAGTATTTATTTATTTACGGCATTAATATGCTGCCCTTCTCACCCTGAAGGGGACTCAGAGTGGCTTACAAGATATATATACATACAATATATTATATTATTAGCATAGCACAATATCAGTATTATATATTACTATATTGTACTATACCATTATATTGTAATATTACATGTAATATAAAATATCTATATAAATAAAAATGTAATGTTCGTTTGTGAGATTAACAGAACTCAAAAACCCCTGGACGAATTGACATGAAATTTGGACACAATACACCTAACAGTCCAACGAGTGTCCATCACCCATAAACACACGCGCGCACACAAAACGCCAGCGGAACAGACTTAAAACCCCCAAAAATACACCATATATACATATACACATACACTCATATACATATGCACATGCACACATTCATGCACACACATGTATACATATGCACAAACACACACAAATATACACACATACATATACGTACACACATATATGCATATACACATGCACACACATATGCATATCCACATACATACATATATACACTCAAATATGCATATAGACAAGCACACACATATACACAATATACATGTACACATATAAACACACAAATACACAAATATATACACATATATACACACGCATATATACACAAACTTACACACATATATACACTCACAAAACACAGACAGAGCCACAGCAATGCCTGGCAGGGGACGGCTAGTATAATAATATTGTATTATTATTAGTGGTATTATATTGTATTACATTATAATATTATAAATATTATAATTTTGTTGTTCATTCGTTCAGTCGTCTCCGACTCTTCGTGACCTCATGGACCAGCCCACGCCAGATCTCCCTGTTGGCCGTCACCACCACCAGCTCCTTCAAGGTCAGTCCAGTCACTTCAAGGATGCCATCCATCCATCTTGCCCTTGGTCGGCCCCTCTTCCTTTTGCCTTCCACTTTCCCCAGCATCATGGACTTCTCTAGGCTTTGCTGTCTCCTCATGATGTGGCCAAAGTACTTCAACTTTGTCTCTAGTATCCTTCCCTCCAATGAGCAGCATTATAATACATAATATTATAAATATATTTTAAATATATTTTAGCATAGCACAGGAGACAAGGTGGAACTGTCTTCCTGGCCCCTTCTCTCTTCACTTTGGCCAGAGCAGCAGTTGGTGCTGGCGGAGGGGCTCCCAACTGATGACTTTTATTCAGCTTGTGGTCTAGTAAGACTCCCTTTTCACAGGTGCTATTTTCAAACCAGGTATTGCCCATTGCATAATCTGTGCATTCCATCATTTAGGAGAGCACAAATATTAATGAGTACCTCTGTGCTTATCCTCAGACCTGCAAGCAACCACACTTGAAGCTAACTCTTTCTCCACAGGCTTTTTCCTAGAAAGGATCACAGGCAACTTGCACAGAGTTCAGGTACCACCTGTGAGGTCCCTTCCCCTAAAGTTCTGTACTGCAGGGTTGACACACATGCACCCGATCAAGCTGTGGAAGGCGAAACCAGCTCTGGCTGGAACAATCCAGTAGCCAGGCTCTGCGAACCCAAGAGGGCTCCTCCTGCCACCTTGACAGAGACCCGTGGATCAGCTGCCGTTGCAGCAGCCAAGCATGAAGAGCCGCCCTCCTTCACACCCCCTGCATTTCCAGCCTCCTCCCTCGGCCACAGATCAAAGCGCTGCTTCCTGGTTGGTTTGTTTGGGTTTTTTATTAAAGGGACAAGCAATGGATGGGGCTTCTCAACCCATTTCCTTGTTAGCTAGGAGCGTTACAGCCCAGACAATCCCATCACTGAGCCACTACTCTTGCTCCGTTCCTAGTCAGGCCGGAGAACAGAGAAGGCTAAAACAGAAAGTCAAGTAAAACTCTTTGGGGAAGAGTTCTGCAGCTGGTGTCGGGTGTGTTGCAGCCCAGAGATTACCTTGACTTAGATTTCAGGGCCAGGCAAGGTCCAGGGAGATTTTATTACTGCCTGTGATATGTTATACTGGGAACACAACTTGTTTTCCACCCCTCCCTCCACTCCCTGCTCTGGCAGCAAAGTCACAGACCAGTTCCCTGCTGTATACTCTAAGTCCGGCGGGAGATGGAGAGGGAAAGAGCCTCAGGGACACCACAGCCAACCCTTGGCTTTTCAGTTTCCATGCTCCCAGCACCGCCACCAAGAAGCGGCCCCACAAACAGGAATGAGTCACACAGCAGCAGGCAATTCCAAGAACTGGCAAACCTCTGGCACAAACAAGCAAAGGACTGTTTCCAGCGTCAGGCAGGAGGAGGGGGAAAGCATGCTAGGATCACGGGCGGGCGGGCACATCAAAGGACCCAACTTTGTGCCGAATTACTCTTTAAGAGCCAGCTGATCTTTTTCTCTCCCTGCTCCATAGCCACATTTCTCCCCTTTATGGAAGCCAAGAGAGCTGAAGCCAGCCTTGCAGCATTCCCCTTTTATGGAATCATGAAATCAGAGTTGGAAGAGACCCCAGGACCAGCCAGTCCATGTGGAAAAATACAGCCCAAGCCCTCCCAACAGACGACCATCCAGGCTCTGCTTAAAAATCTCCAAAGGAGACTCCACTAGACTACATATTCCATCATCAAGCAGCTCTATTATTTATTTATTTTATAGTATTTCAACCCCCGAAGGGGGACTCAGGATGTCATTTGGCAGCAATTCAATGCCACTCCACTAGACTACATATTCCAACATATTCCATCATTAAGCAGCTCTATTATTTATTTATTTACAGTATTTCAGCCCCCGAAGGGGGACTCAGGACGGCTTACAATTGGCAGCAATTCGATGCCACTCCACTAGACTACATATTCCAACATATTCCATCATTAAGCAGCTCTATTATTTATTTATTTACAGTATTTCAACCCCCGAAGGGGGACTCAGGACGGCTTACATTTGGCAGCAATTCGATGCCACTCCACTAGACTACATATTCCAACATATTCCATCATTAAGCAGCTCTATTATTTATTTATTTACAGTATTTCAACCCCCGAAGGGGGACTCAGGACGGCTTACATTTGGCAGCAATTCGATGCCACTCCACTAGACTACATATTCCAACATATTCCATCATTAAGCAGCTCTATTATTTACTTACTTACAGTATTTCAACCCCCGAAGGGGGAATCAGGACGGCTTACATTTGGTAGCAATTCGATGCCACTCCACTAGACTACATATTCCAACATATTCCATCATTAAGCAGCTCTATTATTTATTTATTTAAGTATTTCAACCCCCGAAGGGACTCAGGACAGCTTACATTTGGCAGCAATTCGATGCCACTACATATAACAGAGCAATATAATAACAATTAAAACAATAAGTAAAACATTCATTAAAACAGTTAAAAAACAGAATGTTTAGATGAAATCTCTTTTCCTGCAATTTGAATCCACTGCTCCATATCTTAGTCTGCGGAGCAGTAGACGCCAAGTTTGTCCCCCTCCTTCCCTCGTGGGTCACCTGGCGAAGAACAGGTGGACTTTGCCTAGCTGGGATCCCTCAAAAGGAAGTGCTAGTACTCACCCCTGGGAGAGGGAAGTCACTTTAGAGACAGAGAACCTCAGTAGAGAGTCAGTGCTGTGGAG